AAGACATTCAGGAGGACCGTGTTACTCACCACTGGAATGACGATGTTCAAAGACTGGACAAGCTTGCCACTGAGCTACAGCCTGATTTCGGTCCTGTTGCAATGAGGCATTATACCGAGTTGGACTTTCGTGGTGCTTATCAAAGTCTGTCGTTTTTTTCCCTCATAAGATGGCTGGTGTTAAAGGTCGATGAAGAGATTTTCGCGATGCCAGACGATAGTCAGGAAGATGCTGACGGAGGAACGTTCGATAGCATGATGGATCGATTAACCAACTTTTGGCCGGACGCGGATGCGACGGTCGAGCACATGCTAACAACGTACGCATTCCATTTCTTTTTGAAGCATTCTACTCAGATCACATTAAAAAGATCCGACGTCACATTTCGCGCAGGGGAAGATCCCAAATTACCCTCACGCGCTGATTTCTTCACTGGTGGCAGTATCAATTCAAAGAGAGGTTTTCACTCTTTGATGCGTGATGGTCTGCCCTTTCGGAACCTCGCCAGTACTGCATCATGGCATTACAACATCCACGACACGTCGACTGGCCCATTTTACAATCATTCTGGCAATTGGTCCAATCTACACGAAAGCCTGAAAGAGCTAGACCTAGTTTCAAACACAGAAAGACCTAGCCCTTCGCTGCGGCGCGAGGCGGAAGCCCGGGAGCAACTAGTTCTCGACTTGGCTCTGTCGAGCAACGTGTACTCCGCTCAGCCATTCGTGAGGCTCGGCGCTTCGACCACAAACGCGGCAGCGTCGGATACCATCTCAAAACCGGCCAATGAAATGTCCTTTAGGGATGAGCCTCCTGAAGTTGAGTTTGGCTACCTTCGGCCAGTTCTCAAAATTGGCGCCGACCACTACGCGAACAAGGAGACAGAACTCGACCAGGATGCAGCTGTTTCGAGTCCACTTGGGGTGCGACTTCTGCTGGCAGAGTGGGCGGTGGGATCGGATCCTGCGGATTATAGGTACCGTGATCCGTATGGTGTCACGGAGGAGGATATGGACCCTGTTCAGCCACACAAGGGACATGCTTTACCTACTCAGGCCCCTGCGACACAAAGAAAACAGTTACCGTCACAGCGCCCACCTATGGTTGTCACGAAGACGACCACACGACCACCACCGATTCAGCCCGTGCAATGGCCACCAAGTGCCGCCCAGACTCGTACTACACAACAAGCGCATTCGCAGACATTGATTGACTCTATCCCGGACGTGTTTTCGCAAGAACTGGTGACCAGTACACAAGTTCTCCCAGGCCCATTTGGTGGACGACCAGTGGCTGGAGCAAGGAAGCCTGCCAAGAAGCGGATAGGTGGATTTTGATGTGCCGCCGAATGACGGTATCTCCTATATACCACACTACAGTACAGTACAGTACATACGACCACTGAGCTCACCATATATACGAAGCAAATTCGTTGGCGTAGGTTGGGTGTAGAAATAATTTGTTGGGCTGTTATCCGAATTCGGTCTTGGCGCTGTACTCAGTCGAAGCAAAACCAAAAAAGTGATTGACCCCGACAGCACTACTCGGAGTCGGAAGCACCCTATTGTCATCTTCTCTTACTTCTGGTTCTATCTCAAAACCCACGAGACCTGCGATTAAACTTCGAGTCACCGTCTGCAAGTCCTTAACGTCGACGCGCCAAGCGCACGAAATTGGGCCCTGCAGCCGGTCCAGTGAAGCACACACAGCACTTGATCATGGATGCAGGGACTAGG